ACCTGGCACAATTAACAGTTTAACAAACTCATAGTGAAATTAAATTACATTCTAAAACACTTGTCACAACTAAATGACTGTCTAACTAACCAGCCAACTTAGGCTGAAAAACACTGACATTCTAAGACATTTATCATAATTATTTAACACTTGGCACAACAAAATAACCACCTAACTAACTAATTAACTAAATTTTACTAAAAATTAATTTGCATTCTACGACACTTGGCACAATCATCTAATTAACTAACTGATACAAACACTCATTTATATTCAAAGACAACTGGCACAACTAACTAACTGTTAACTAATTCAAATGCATATGTATTCTTAAACATTTGGCACTATTTTCTAATTACCCAACATTTACTGACACTCATTTACATTCCAAGACACGTGGCACAACTGAATAACTAACTGTCTAACTAACAAAGTAAGAACTCAGATTCTTGCACACTCATCCTGCACATTCCAAATTTGTACATCATTGTCTGAAGATGTTAAAGGTCTGTTGCTGATACATTGAAACATTTGGTGCATTTTACTGCTGGCTGAACTCCAAAAACATGTCCTTTGATGGGCTCTGTACTAATCTTTGAATTCAGGCAACACAGATCTGTACCAAACTTTATCTGCCTCACTATTTCCCTCTGCACCTCTCCATCTGTCTTTCCAGCCTCATTCTGTCGCGTGAAGTGACCCGTTCTCCACTAGTCCATTCAATCATGCTGTGCCCACACAACAATAACTGCAATATTGGATTTTCACAAGCTCTGTCCCTCAGGACAGAAGATTCAGCTTGAGTATAACACAAACCAGACCAGGTGGGAGGGCAACTGGCCACACACTAGCGAAAGTTATTGAATTGGGGAGGAGACTTCAGGGGACAGTGACATTCACAGAAAAATATAAACCACATGACCTGAACAGACAGAATGAAAGTGTGATAGATGTATTTAGGGCTCCATCAATGTCACTGATGTGATTTCTAGATAACAGCTTTACCGATTAGCTGTTATCATCCCAACATTTATGTGCTGGAGATCCTGATCTTGCTCCATTGTCATTGTGCCGTTCACTGAATTAGAACAACAAAGGAATCTTACAACATTAATACAGGAAATAGGATAGAATCTACACATAATCTTGTAATCGTTGCACAATCTGCATTCTCAGCAACATCCCTGATCAGATGAAGCCCGTCAAGGTGAATGCATTAACAGGCAGGCGTTAGGTTTTTTTTTATGTGCATGCATGCATGAGAGATTATCCACTTCAGATACTGATTTTCTTGCGAGCTACTTCAAAAGATTGTTTTGAATTACAGCAAACACCCGTTTCTAGGCAACAAGAAAAACGTATAAACATATTCCGTCATCCAACAAGCTATCGTTTATGACACCAAGACTTATGATACTCATAACTCACACTTTGTGAACAAAGCTCCACAACTGAAATAATAGATTTTGTTTACGGAGGAGAAGCGCTTGCTAAGAAACAGTGCAATGGTGAGTTGTAGAACACAGAAAAGAGGAGGTGGGAAAATGGGAGATTTTTGTCAAGGCTTTGACTAATCCCAGGGCATTATAGTCCCTGTGAAATTAAGTTGATTCAAGAAGTTGTAAAGCTGTAATGCCAATTGTTGTGAAGTTGGATAGGCAAGATGTTTTCTTTTTGGCTGGTTTAGCTGACTGGAAAAGCCAGAGAGGCAAATTCACTAACCACCAGCAATCCACTTTAACCATGAGAAAATTGCACTCAAATAGCATTGTGTCCTAATTATTTACAATGAGGCTTATGTAGCGAATCAGCTCAAAGGGGAAATATGAATAATTAATCATAACTAGTTATAATTAATTATAAATATTTAGATCCGCTGTAAGCATTCATTTGACCTCTCAGTGTCAACTGTCTGTTAATTCTAAGAACGTTAATTTCCTGGTTAAGGGAAATAACTTTCTTACTGTACAATACTACTCAGAGCATGTAGCATAAATCTGCATGATTAGGGACTCCAGTTATGAGCAAACAATGAACAACGTCAAGTGTGATACAAGTGAGACTTTACTAACTACATAAACACTTAAACTAGTCTAACATACACTACACACACACACACACACACACACACAC